CGAATGTCATCGGTGGCGCTTGTAAACTTGACATATTAGATGCAATTAGGTAAGATAAAAGTGGAAAACTATTATTGCGCGATGACTTTGACAATGTTGAAAAATTGTCCACCTTTTATACATATTTAAATGCAAACAAACAAATGTGGCAAATCCAAGCCATCTAGCCGAAAACATAGTCAAATCAGGCAGTTGCTTCGCAATTGAGATTTATAAGGATAATTCAAGCGATCAAAAACGTGAAATCTCCATCAAATTTAGTAAATTAGATCGCCTCGATAAAACGTTAAGAAGCTCCTTTATCCCTTCAACGATTTATTGAGGGTAAAGATATTAAATGTTCCCAGACGTAGCTAACTTCTGAACGAAGGTTAGTCAAGGATTATGCATTTAACCAAGTATATCTAAAAAATTAATTTTGGTAAAACAATCTCGAGACTAGAAAGTCAGCATCTAATCAGGAGAGCTTAGCAAGTGTTAACGGTCTAGACATTGAGGTAAAAAGCAGTTCATTATGAGGGCCATAATACATTCGAACTCTAATTTGGGTTCAAAGGTGCACAATGCGTAACAACTATAACTAATACTCTAATAAAGACGACCTATTAAATCCGAATAAATACCCTTCTACATATAAAATAAACGAGTTAAAAACGCTGATACCCAAGCTGATCAAAGTTCACACTGTACTATTGTTTTCCTCCGGGTTAAACGAAACGGGAAGCAATCAACTAACCTGAGTACGAAGCTGAGAAGCAAGTCCAAAATAAGACTCCATATAGCCATCTTCTAGGGCCTCTCGGAACAGTCGCTTACCATCCGAAGATGCAAAGGATACACAAAATGGAGGCAAGCGCCGGCGATAGAACTCAGGGTGATGCACACTCAGCGACCTAGTAGAAAATTCACGTGATTGAATGCGAACTTTCACCCTTTGCTCTACAGTGATGATAGCTTGCTGGGAGATGAGACATCTGAGTAAACTGGATCGATGTGATACGATACTTCTGCTAAGTTTTCCGGGGATTGCGTAAAGATAGTCTGCAGGGTGAGATAAGAGAGAACCCAAATGGAAGAAAATATTGGGTAAATTCACCAATAAGCTTGGGGCTTTCCTGGAGAGGGTATTTTCAGGAGCAAAAACATCAAGCATTCTTTTCCGGAGAATCATTGAAGGACGCAGATCACGAAGACTGACATAATGGTAGGGAAGACAGACATTAAACAAAATGAACATTAGCAGTCATGAAAGTGAAGCGGAGCTAGCTCCAGTGAAATTCAGACGAGGGCCAGATATGCCGTATTCACATAGACAAACATTAAATGAAATTAGTTCAAGCGACCAGTAAGTGACCTCAAGTGCCATGTGGGAAAAACGTTTCCAGAGAAAGAGGAAGCCTGTTAGTCTTAGAGGTTACCAGCTGCAAGGAAATCGGTATTTCAGGGCTTAGCATTAATGTGACTACACCGGGACTTGGCGGAAACGGTTATTAAAGAATAATAAAGTGAGGTTCTTGTGGACTAGAGGAATCGAGTTCCAGAAGTCAGATAGGGAGAACAAGT